TTTGTGATTGGCCACTAAAAGCTAATAAAGGCTTTAACTTGCACCTCTGATTGCCACAGCAGATATCCCTTAGGAAATCTAAAGAGTGGGGTATAAATACAATGAATAAATAAAAATTAATTAAATAAATACATTCCATCTGTAGGAGAAAAGAGGTTTAAATTGGAATAAATACAAATTTATTCAAATTTTGTTTGGCCCATTTTCTGGCCTGTCTAGTTAAGCCTAGTCAACAGGATAGCATATTCCTGCTTTGAGGCTAAGTAACATGGGTATTTTTGCTCCTTGATGTTTGTTCCTGGTGAACACATTGCTACAGTCCCTGGGGTAAAACCATTGATAGATCCAGAAGTAAGCTGGTGTACAATTTAACACATCAGATCACATTGTGGGTAATTTACAGCCACCAATTTCCCTTCACACTTTCCACATAGCTTTTGTTTATTGGGGCACCAGTTTCCTGTGTTGCTACACAGGAAACATTGCAGAAATTAGACATTAACCAATTGTATATTGTTGATTGTTCACCCAGTTAAAGAAACTATGGCTGAACAAAGACAGGACATAATCTAACCAAAGTTTAGCACTCTTAAACTTCCTTGAGAGAAATCCTGTGTGTCTTTTTCTGAAATAAATATGGTTGTGCATTCTCTCTGGTTGTGGGCTTTGTTTTTCTTAATGCTGTCTCTGAAGATGATAAACAGCAATACAGCCAGGTAAGTAATACAAAACTAATAATATAACCAGCTTAAAAAATTAGGCCCCAAATAATTGCTGATGTAGTGGTGGACCACCACATAATTCTTGCTCATTTGTTCTTTAGATGAAAGGGGCCCAAACTGTAGAAAATGTATCTTTTTATGCTCCCTTTAACCAGTCAATCTTATGTGTGTCTTTTCTGCTTGTGTATTCTCCCAGATTACTAGTTGTTACGATTTCAGCATGAATTATGCGTTTAACTCTTTCTTAAGTAAGGAATATAAACTAGCAAAGCAAAACAAAGCAAAGCAGCTTTATTTATATACCGCTTCATATCGCACCTGCAACTTTTTTGACAACATTACTGGAAACTGGCTAGTATAACCACTTCTCTCTGTGTTATCATATCCCCACCCCTTCATCCTACCCCTAGTATTGTAAAGATACAACTATTTTATGCTAAATGGACTCCACCCAGAGGAAGTTAGTTGTGCTTAAGTCCTAATGGGACCTAAATCAAATTTTCTCTGGACTGGGGCAAATAAATATGCACACGTTAATTACTACTGATACTAGACTTCAGTTATAGCTATTTAATATTCATTAGGGAACAACTTCATACTAGGGAAGTTTAACAGTTAACACTATACTAGAGAGCCAGCATGGTGTAGTGGTTTGAGCATCGGACTTTTACCCTGGAGACCAGAGTTCGAATCCCTGCTCAGCCATGGAAACCTACTGGGTGACCATGGTGAGTCTCACATTCAGCCCCAGAAAAACCCATGATAGATTCAGTTTAAGGTCATCATCATCATCATCATCATCATCATCATCATCATTTCTATCCCACCCCTCTGCCGAAGCAATCGGGTCGGCTTACAAAATTAAAATGTCACAATATACAATCCCAAAGAACCCACTCCCACCCCTTAAAATAGCATTAAGCATCAAGCATATAAACAATCAGCTATAACATCTTTAAAAAATCATAATAGCAGGCAGGCAACAGATTATGAATGTGACAGAGGGTAGAGATAGGATGACCTTACTCCTTAGGTCAGGAAAAACTAGTCCAGAAAGGCCTGCCAGAAGAGATCCATTTTTACAGCCTTTTTGAAGCTGTTTAAACTGGTAATCTGACGGATCTCATCCGTCAGGCTGTTCCACAATCTGGAAGCGATTGCCAAGAAGGCCCTCTGGGAGGTTGTAGACAGCCTAGTTTTAACAGGTTGAAGCAAATTCTTTCCAGAGAACCGAAGTGTGTAAAGTGGATCGTACAGAAGGAGCTGGTCCCAGAGATAGGTTGGACTTTAAAGGTCATAACCAACATCTTGTACTGAGCCCGGAAACTGATCGGCAGCTAGTGAAGTCTTTTCAAAACAGGTGATATATGGCCTCGCCTGGATGTGCTGGAGACCAGTCTGGCTGCCATATTCTGTACTACTTGAAGTTTCTGGACTAAGCACGAGGGTAGCCCCATGTAGAGCGCATTACAGAAATCAAGATGAGAGGTCACCAGCGCATGTACCACAGTTTCGAGATGCCTTACTTTCAGGAAAGAGCGCAGCTGGCGGATCAGCCGAAGCTAATAACAGGCACTCCTGACCGTTGCATTTACCTTTTTGACATCTGGAGCAATAGATCCAGGAGTACCCCCAGACTGCAAACACAGTCCTTCGCGGAGAGTGTGACCCCATCCAGGACTGGAGGTTGTATCCCAATACCTAGTTTTGGGGCCGCTACTGTTAGTACCTCTGTTTTTTCTGGATTCAGTCTCAATCTGTTTTTCCTCATCCAACCCATTACTGCTCTAAGACAGTCATTGAGAGAAGAGATGCCATCAGAAGCCATGGCCAACAACCAAGGCATGGAGAAATGTATCTGGGTATTATCAGCATACTGATAGCACCTAGTCACATGCCTCCAGATGATCTCTTCCAGCGGCTTCATATATACATTGAACAACATCGGGGACAGGATGACTTCTTGCAGGATGCCACAATTAAGCTCCTTTTTGTGGAGCAACTGTCCCCGAGCAACACCCTCTGGAATCTGCCCGAGAGGAAGGAATGGAACCACTGCAATGCAGTGCCTCCAATTCCTAACCCCGTTAGACAATCCAAGAGGATGATGTAATCTATTGTATCAAAAGCCGCTGAGAGAACCAGCAGGGTCACACTACCCCTGTCGATGCTCAAATGAAGGTCATCACCCAAAGCCACCACGGCAGTCTCAACTCCAAATCCTGTCCTAAAGCCAAGTCATCATAAGTCATACTCTCTCGGCCAAAAAGGAAGGCAAAGACAAATCTTCTCTAAACAAGAAAACCTTGTGATAGGTTCACCTTAGGGTTGCCATAAGTCAGAAATGACTTGAAGGCACACAAGTTACCCCAACTGGAGTCTACCCATTGCATCAATTTTTGGTTAAGTCAATGGATCTGCACTAGCTATTATTATTATTATTATTATTATTATTATTATTATTATTAGCTGGCCTAACAATAAAGTTCAAGTCTAGAGTCTCTACTACACAGCATTTATAATATTAAGAAAAGAAGGATAATGTCTTTGGTTACCTTGAGTGCTGTTCTGCTGCTTTTGTATCAGAGATAGTTTTAAAAGCTATTATTTTTACTATATATATAAAAAATTCAATTATTGGACTCCATTCATGCTTAGATGGTACTGTGATTGAAGTGCAAAATGTCAATTGTGCTTTTACAGGAAACCCTTGCTTATTCTATAGGTTATGGAAATGCAGCACTCTTGGAAACTGGAACTAGTCAAAATGCAAAAGTCCGTTTAACTTTTGGCTGCTCTGAGACCCCCCTAGAGGGGGACACACATGCATACACATGCACACACACAGATAGTGCCTCTCCAACTTCCAACCAGAGGGCACGACACAGCACAGCAAGATATGGAGCCAGAGGAAGCAGTGGAATAGGAGGAGGGTGGCCAATGATTGGATCAAGGGCCTGGGCTGATGAAGTTGGGTCATCCTCTCCTACTGTACAGACTCAACAGTCTGCCTTCTCCATCCCTTGTGTCCTCCAGAGCCTTGTCATAAATCCCCACCAGGGAACTAATATGAAGGAAGG